TACGTCACCCATTTTACGTCGCACATACAAAAAATTCGACATAATAAAAACGCGGTGGCATGGTTCGTAATTTTAGTGAAATTATTTACGTCGGACCTCCTAGGGTCCGACGTAAATAATCCAATCCAGAAATCAAAATTCAAACCCAAACGCTCATCTCCCGCGTTGTGCAATGGAGCCTAGCGAGAAATCCGTCTACCTCAAATCGTAGCTCTTCCTCTACATCTTCATCTTCCGCATCTTGCTCTCTTCCGGCGCCATTTTGTACAACAAGGTAACCATTTCTCCTTTTCTTTGTTTTCTTCACTTGACAATGTTTTCTCACTGAAAAAATGAATTTTTTCATGTCTTGGGGCAGTGGGTTCTTTCGCCCAAATACTTGTTCATCCACATGGGGTTTTCTGGGGCGGTTGCATTTGTCCTCGTGAGGGTCTTTAAGGTAACCGATCTTCTTCTACTTGCTACTTTCTTTGTGCAAAATCTTTGTTTTGTTTAGGTTGGCGTCTTCTGTTGAGGTAACTCGTTCTTCGTTTTGCGTAACATTCTGAGTTTTTGAAGCTGGAGAAGAAGTGGCCAAGTCCAGGTTGGAGAACGGGCCGTTCTGGTTGGAGAACGGGTCGTTCTCCAACCAGAACAGACCGTTCTGCTTGGAGAATGGACCGTTCTCCAACCAGAACGGACCGTTCTGCTTGCAGTCATTTTTTTTTTTTAATTTTTTACAACTTTTTACTTCGGACGTTGTAATTTCCGACGTAAATTTACGTCGGTTTTCACACCCCGACATAAATTTACGTCTACCGCTTCAACGTCGGATGTTTTTCCGACGTAAAATCCCTAAAATACGCGACGTAAAATGTATATTCTATACTAGTGAACACTATGTCTCATACATATGTGTCTTATCTTATCATTATAAACACTATTAGCCACAATAATGAAAGGATACAAGAGATATAGGTCTCCCCACGATAGTATATTAGTCATTTGGTCTTTTTAACTATTATGCTTATTCACCTGTATATTCAAATATTAGGAATTTCAATTCCATTGTAAACCATGTTATACATGTTTGTTTTGTTTGATCCCTGGTTTACATCACAAAATCTCTTTTTTAGAAAAGTTGATAAGCTTTAAACTTCAATTCATAGTACCTTTAAATACTTTTAAATAAGTGTAAAAACACTTTTCAATAATCATCATTTAGATTATGAGTATATATACTTAATCTACTTACAAAATATGAAATACCAATTATAGTGTAATTTATGAGATACATAACATTACCAATTATTTTTTCATATTTAGATAAGAAATATTGGTTTCATTTCCAATAACATTCCATCATATTTTTTTTAAGATAAATGCTAGGATCATATGATGCTTTATCACATACAACATTGAAATTATTGAAACTTTTTTAATAAACTTTCAAATATTATAAGCTTGACTAAGAGAGACCATTTTTTTAGTTTTTCGCATTTTAATACCTAAAATCACACGTTCCTCCCAAACCTTTCATTTCAAAATTAGAATTTTAAAACTTTAATTTTGATCATCACTTTCAATGAGACGTGAAATAACAACATATCTATCATCATATGATATCATAATTAGAATAAATCATTTTTTACATACAAGAATTAAGAGTAGTTATTGAACTTCTCATACTATTGCTTATGTGTTTGTTTTAAATCATCTAATCAAAACAAATTAAGAAAACAATTTATATCCATTTGGTGTATAGCCAAGTTATGTATTGCTACTACACCTTCCTTTTCTAAGTAAAGCCTTTGATAGCCAATCCAACCTTAAATTTTATTTTCTTTTTATCCGCCATGCTTATATTTTTAATTAATAAATCATTTCATCTCATAAGTACTTTTTATTCTACTTTACACTCAATAACATAACAACCTTTAAAGTAGCAACAATTTTACATTTTCACTTTGTACATTATTTGTACACATTAGTTGTGTGCCTTTAAGCATTTGTCAATGTATGCATTTTCCACATTTGTATTATGATTAAATCTACACTTATTTATTTTCATCAAATAATTATTTATTTTTCCTTGGATAATGCACAAACTTTGATCACATAATAAATATCAACTACATTTGATCATATATTGTATAAGAAACAATCATCAAAACAAGATTGTTAAAATATGCAACTAACTAAAACATCAATATAACAAATTATTTTTTTAAAATAGCCTTTTAAATACATATTGCATACAAAAAATTACAACATTTTCCTCATTTTTTTTCATAATAACATTTTGTAAATAGTTTGACATAGAGATAAAAAAAATATTTGGCATGCAATTAAAAAGAATATGACATACTCTTATTTTAGCAATTTTTAATTAATTTGATTGTAGTTTTCATTATCTCATTGATTTCTCAAACAAATTGTTGGTTCATCTTCTAAATTTTGTTAGCCTCAAGTTGCTTGGAGAACATCAACAATCTTTTGTGTTCGTTCTTTATTATTAGTTTTATTAAGGAGTTTAAGTTTCGAGACAATAACCAAATTAATTTCATAAATAAAATTCATTAATTAGAACAACATAGTCAAAAGCGATAAAAATTTACTTTCAAATTGTTAGAAAATATTAGTATAAAATGAATGAAAAAGAGTATTGTGTCGTGGTACTAACCATTGTCCTGAAAGCAAATTCAATAAACCTCTAGTGCAATCCAAAATCTAGTTTGCTCCCCAAGGTTTTACACAATGTTGTATTTGAATTTATGCACTTGAGGTCAAAACACGTTGGAACTTCTCGAGCAATGCTTAGAAGAATAATAAGTATGGAAGAAAGTGTAGGAAATAGATATTGTCTCTATCTCCTAAAACTCACTTTGTCATTTCTTATACAGTGCATAAAGAATTTGTTCATTGGCAAGTAATTAATTAAAAAATTTAATACCAACGATAATAAAATGATTAATATGTCAATGGTAACATAACAATGAATATGTCAATAGTAACAGTTGAATAATCAACACTTATATGCCATTATTTTCACAAACTTCACTCAACCCAACTTGTTAAACTTGTAGGGCAAGCCTTGAGTTTTTTGGTACCCTGAGTGAAGTGAAGTGCCCTAATAAATATTTGAATATTATTTATGACTACAATTCTCAAACCTAAAAATGTAAACATACAAACAATAAAATACACAGTTGTTTAAAAATAACTAAACGTTTAATACATTTGTACGAGATTATGAGTTATCTTTATTAATCATTATACAACGAGAAAATAAATCAATAATAGTGACACTAAATTACAAAGAAACTCGTGATAGAGAGATGAAGATTCATAATTTTATTTTGAGATTTCATTGGAGTAGGATATGTCATAATTTAAAAAATAGAAAGAAAATCAAATAAATTAAAGAAAAAGAAAAAAGGAAAAAATTAAAGATAAATTTTATTTATAATTTTATATTAACACTTATGAAAGTTTACACCAAGAAAGAAAAAAATGTCAATAACATATAACACTTTTCTCTTTATATCTAATATTACCGGTTGATTTTTTAAAATTATTGATAAATTTTTGTTGACGAATATAAAAATTGATTATTGATTAATTGTTCATAATTATTTTATTTTCTCTATTTTTTAATAATTTAATTATATAATTTTTTTAATAATTTAATTATATAAATTTTCTAATATTATATAGATTAAATAATATTTTTTTATGCTCCCAACAATAGAGCTCCCTCCGATCCACTTACTCATTCTCAAGAGTCAAGACCACTGCTGAACAATAGACCCAAGTTATGGATTAAATATTTAAAAATTAAAATTTATTAAAACGATTGAATTCAATCCAATTTGCCTTTAGCTCATTATAAAATGGATTAAGATATCATCTTACTAAAACAATATTCAACCAAATTAACATGAAATACATAATAATCTACAAAAGAAATTATTGTATAATATGAAAGCACTATCGTCCCAACTAATTTTTTTAACTCATTCTTGTAAATTAAAAAATTCAACCACGTTTCACGTAAAAAAAATAAAAATAGTTAGATATCTATAACATTATATACAAAAAAAAAAAAAAGACACCACTTTATTTTCTATAAGAAATATAAAATGTCTCGATTCCACTTAGAAATCATAAACACGATGACTTAGAATATACAATAACTTCTTATTCCATGAACTATAATGTGCTGGACAATTTTGATTGACCTTGGGCCTTTGCCGTTGGGTTCTGTTAAGCATACAGAAAACAGAAATAAAAAGAATAAAATATAAAAAAAGAGCCTTTAAATGGTCCAAGATAACTGCGACCATGAAAATATCATTCGGAGAATTGAAAAACTGGAGACAATTGGGCCTCGAACTTGAAAATGTTCTTTTGCATTAAACCACAGGTAATATACCCTTACCAAATTTCTTCATGAACCTTTTATATACTTTTAAGAGGACTGATTTCAACTATTTTAAAAAACTCAGATATTATTTTAATAATTTGCATAAATTTATACAAAAGACCTTCTATGTAATTTTTTTTTATCAATAGAAATCAAACTTTGTATCAAGATATTCACAATATTCATGTAGCCTACTCAACCAACTGAAATAGAATATTATATAATAAGTGTTTTAATTCAACTACCTTAGGTAATAATCGTCCCTCACAATGTGTTATGCAGAACACTCCCTAGCCAGTTTGGTTTTCAATCCCTATGACTCTTAATTCTGAAAACCTTGATAGCAGGGACGGAGCCAGGATTTCAATACTGGGGGTGCCATATAGGGGTGCCATATAGTAATATACATATGAGTTTATATTAAAAATATGAGTTTATATTAAAAATAGGGGGTGCCATATAGTAATATATATGTATATAAAAAAAAATTAAAATTGTTGGGGGGGCCGTGGCACCCGTAGGTCCCCCCTTGGCTCCGTCCTTGCTTGATAGTAAATTTTGACCATGCAAGGAGACCATTACAAGTTATTCAATGGAACAAAGACAGCACTTTGTGTTGGCATAAGTTCCAATACAGAAAAATGCTACTATTCTTATTAATACTAGTTTATATAGTATGAATAAAAAATCACAAATTTTAGTGAGTTTAAATGAGATTCAGCACTCATATAATCTGTGATTCCCAATACGTTTCAAGTCCCATTGTATGGCATTTCATGTTTCTCCATCTCATGAACATGCTGTGCCCTGTACTTGTACCGATGAGCTGAATACATAAAAAGAGCGAAATTGAGAATGCTGAGAGCCGTGAGAAGCCAATAAAAGTAGTCAAATCTACCAATGTTGATGTTCTGCGACAACCAAGATTCTTTGCCGTGATCCAAATCCCCAGTAACAGATTTAATAATGTTGTTTATGATAGTAGCGAAAAAGCAACCCAATCCACCAGCAAGTGCAGCATAAGCAGAGCCTATACTCTTCATTGCATCAGGGGCTTCCTCGTAGAGAAACTCCAACAAGCCAACGATGCAGAAGACTTCAGCCACGCCAATGAGACAGTACTGGATCAGCAACCAGTAGGCACTTAAGTTAGGCATTGCTGTCAGAAAACTAGCCTCGTACCCATGTTTTATGGCGTAGCTTCTTCTGTATTTTTCGAATATTGCGGCCCATGCAACCGAGAGAATGGAGACTGCAAGCCCAATTCCGACCCTCTGGAGCTGCGAGGCGCCGTGGGGGTGGCCCGTGATGCGTCGGAAGATGGGGACGAAGAGGGAGTAGTAGAGAGATAATATGAGGAAAACGCTGAGGCCTGGGAACACTGGCATGCATGTCACTGGGAGCTTCAACTGGCCCAAGTGAGTGTTGAGTGTGTATGCTTGCTGGACTGAGAGAGTGAGAAACTCTGTTAAGATCACGTTCAGCATTATTGTGCATGCTGGTATGGGGATCAGTTTCACCAGGATTTTCACTTCTTCTACTTGTGTCACGCTGCACAGCCTCCAAGGACTCGGGTTAGGACCGTCTTCTTTCAGTTGCAGAGCTGCTTTGTCAAGACACCTGATATATATATATATATATATATGCATCCAAAACAACAAATCATAATCATTTAGTATACAAACAAGTCCCATATCAATAAAATAAAAGAAAAAATAATGACTTATAAAATACACATATACTTCAATATTAGAGAGACTTATGACAAAAAATAAAACCGTGAGGACTTAGGTATCTCATCATTATGGAGTATATTTGTGTAATAACCTTATAAATCAATTCTTTTTCCATCAAGCTAAATATTACTTGAAAACATTCTTACCTGAAATCATCGGTGTGAGCAATTTTTCGACTTCCCTTGATAGCAGACTGTCTGCCAGGAACCTCGTAAAGGCCAACGAAGTCACTGCTACCAAAAGGGGAGGTTCTCTTTCGAAATGCAGCGACCAAGACTTGAGCAACCCTTGTAAGAGGGCTACCTCCTGGTAACCTGTGCCTGTACAAGGGAGTGCCAATGAAGAACACCATGTTGGATATTCCCATCGCAATTGCCAGTGACCCGAATGCAGAACCCCATCCATACTGAATCTGCACGTACACCACTGCAGTGAAGGCCACTATGGCCCCTATGGTCACTGACAGATAGAAGAAGTTGAAGAATCTGTCCAGGTGTGCCTTGTAGTTTTTGCTTCTTTCATCGAACTGGTCTGCTCCAAAAGATGACACGCATGGCCTTATCCCTGCTGCTCCGAACGCTGTGATGTATAGAACCGTGTAGAGGTAAGTCATCTGCCACGGTTTTGCTGGCTCACAGTGCCCCAACAGCAGAGAAAATTGGTCGCAATCTGCTTGGTTTGGCACAAACTTACTTATTGTTGCACATAGTGTTATTCCTGTTAAACCCTGTTCATGAAAATTGGAATGAAACAAGAGTTGCAAGAGAAAAAATAAAAAAGAAAAAAAGTTATACTGTGATGTAAAACAAATTTACACAATTATTCTTATTATAAAATCACTATGTATATCAAGTTTGTTAATTTTTAAATACTTTAAAAATTATTAATTATATAACTTTTTAAAAAAATTATGTTAAAGATCAACGAACTTATATATAATGATTTGTGATTAGATAAGTGTGTTTTATACTATTCCATAGTTTATTAATGTATCATACTTTATTGCAATGGACTTTACTACATGTGCTGTTCCATGGCTCTAAAGAAGAGAGAAGAACCGTACCGCAAGATAGATAGTGGTGAAAATAGCTATTGTCCAGTAGCGTCCAAGATATGCGTCGGCTAGAAAACCACCGAGCACAGAGGAAGCTTGTGATATTCCTAAGAAATTGTTGACTGCATTGGAAGAACTCGTGAAAGGTCTATGCATCACGTAAAACATAAAGGCCACCATGTTAACCGAAAGACCAAAATAAGCCATTCTTTCTGCCATCTCGTTTCCTACAACCACAAACATAAACCATACACAATTATTGAATAATGTTCTCTTTAAAGTATTCATAAATCATAACCAAGCTCAACACGTAACAGTGTGACAAATTCATGCATTGCTCTTTTTGTCTGTGTTGACCAGCAGCATGTTAATCAAGAATTTAGATCCTTTCTTTTAATTCAAAAGCATAACATACTATTACTAATGCTATGATAGAGAATGAAATAAACAATTTAATAGCATGCTCTTAGTCAATATACTTGTGACAAATTTTAGATAAAGTTTATCAACTATTGTTGCTATTATTCTTCGTTAAGAATTGATCTTTCACCTTGACAACTCATGTTATGAACTCTAAAGACTAAATCAATTATGCAAATTATCAAAGCAAAATTTCAAATTGAATTGAAAAACAACATAAGAATATATTAAGTAACTGTATCTAAGTTTTATTTGATAATTATGTATGCACACATGAATACATATAGTGAGAATATATACCAAATATAAAGAAAGCAGCAATCCAACCACCAGTCTTTGAAAGATCAACAATGGATTTGCCATGGATATCAACTGGTGTAGATCCTGCTGTGTACCCACGACCAAAGGCCATCCTTCTATCTTCGGACTCAATGAAGTAAATTGCAAGCTTCTTTCTATTCACTGAAGTGCCGGGTGTCCCCTGATGGGAGCCTTCTTGTGGTGACTTGATCTCGGAGCTATCCATCACTCTTAACACACAACACTACTCAATTTTCAGATTAACAACACACAAAACATAGAAAGGGGCATGGATCCAGCTCTTCAGTAACGAGAAAGCATAAAGTTCAGCAAAAGGGTGGCAAACAATTATTCTGAAATATGGAGACTGAAGCCACCAACTTCTAATACTATTTTCGTTTCGCCTGCTCTTCTACTTATGGATGTGAGCCTAATTAATTCTTCTCAAGGTAGGAAAATAAAAATAAGAAAAATGCTTACCAGTGTCCTTAAGCATTGATTAAGGAATCATAAGTAGAAAGTTTTTATTGAACATCTTTCATGTAACTTGATTTTAGTTTTTAATAAAAACTTTCTAAATATTGATTCCTTAACTAGTATTGTTACTCCTTAGAAGATTGGTTAGCAAGATCTTAAAAATAATTGTGTAGTAGTATATGTTTGGACCCTACATGGGACACATAAATGGGAAGTGAGTGACTTTTTGACTTGTGCATGAATGAATACAAAGTTGAACAGTGAATAGTGAAGGAAGTTGATTTTTGGATACAGTTGGGAAAAGGGACCATATTAAAGGATGGTTCAACTAACACGTTAAGATCTGTGGAAACCAACCATGCATAATAAATGGCAGGACAACAACACAAATGGAAGCGATTGAAGACAATGCATTTATGGTCACCTGCTGTGGAGGCTGGGGCCATTGCTGTCATTGATTGGTGCCTCTGCTTGTTAGTACGAATTTCTTCCAAATCTTATTCCTCTTCTATCGTTTTGTTTAAGCGCTTTGGGTTGGTTCAGCATGAAAATATGGATACCCATAATTTTCCATCTGAATTCGGAGGTTGGGGATTTCATAGTCATTGCTTGGAATTTTGTGCTTGCTTTTAAAGTCTTCTACTTCAATGAAGTGCTCGGATTTCTCCGCAAGGCCAATACAGATTTTAACCTTTAATTCTTTAAAGTGACATGAGCTCTGTTCTCAACTCAAAGGACTCAACTAGTTATAAGTCTAACTATAGAAACACGAAAATTATGGTTCAAAAACATACTATAGGAGTTTAACAATTATGTACCGATAATGTAAAATTATTTAACGAGTGTCAATGGATTATAAATATTCTTAATTATAAATCATAATATGTATGATTTTTAAGGCTTTTTTGTAAAAATAATAATAAGTTTATTATATATAATAATTTATGATAGAACAATTTCTAATTAGATTACGCTGTTAAAAAATATTTACGTTCATAAACAATTTTTTAATTTTTTATTCAAAATATGTTTTTCTAAATTTTATTTATATTTTTTCTAAATATGTCAATTAGATCATTCGGTCTATACCAAGTTTTGTTTTTAATAAAAAATTGCATCCACCAATATAGGTGACTTGAATGTAAGCTGAATTTTATTTTATTTGTGGAAAATTTTATATGCACCTCCTCTTTCTAATATTTACGCTTTGCTTTTCAATTCTTTTTGTCAATTTTTAAATACTTATTTATTTATTTAATTATTTCTTAAAATAAATTTTATTTTTTAAAATTATTTTCTTTATTGATCTCCTTTTCTTTTACCTCTTTATTTTCGTCACTCTATTCCTCTCTAGTCATTCCTTTCCATCTTTAATATCGTATACATTGAATAAGATTGTAAATTTTATAAAGACGTGTTTAAAGAAATGACATATTAATTTTACGATAAATGATTGATTAAAAATAATATATTATTATTATTATTTTGAAATTGTGCTCCCAGCTTCTTAAAATATGCTTATAGAAGAGTAAAAATATTTGTCTTTTGGAAAGTTCCTTTTGAAAAAAAAAAAAAACTTTCAAAAAGTACTTTTTAAAAACATTTTTTTCTTTTCCAAAAAAATATTTTTCAGAAATATATTTTTATTCTTGGAATTTGGGGGTGTAAAACAAATAAATATACTTTTAAAAAGTATTTTTTAGAATAGTGAATTTGTTTATCAAAAGTAGGAATATTTTTTTTTCTTTTAAAGAGTACTTTCCAAAAATATATTTTTACTCTTGAAGTTTTGAGTGTAAAACACACTTTTGAAAAGTAATTTCTGAAAACAAAATAAAATATATAACTTTTGAAAACTACTTCTTGAAAATGTATTTTTTGTCTTTGAAGAATACTTTTTAGAAGTATATCTTTTATAAAAAAAATGAAAAAAAAGTATTTAAATAAATAAATAAAAATAGATATAGAAAGTGTTTTATTAAATAATGGAGGTGTATATAACAAAAATTGCATCTATTAACGGGGAGTGACTTGAATGTAACCTGAATTTTATTTTATTTGTTTAAACATGGTAATATGAGATCCTAAAACTTGATAAGCTTTCTATGGCTCATGATATATATACTTCTTTTTTTTATAAGTGCATCTTTTTGTTTTTTATTTTTTTAAAATTTCTAAAATATTCTTTATTTTTTTATTTTTTTATTTTTTTAATTTTACACATCCAACTTTTAATTTAATACTTTATTCTTTTTTTCAACACATCTCCTTCCTTCTCCCTTTTAGTTTTCACAAACATCCCTTTGTTTTTCCCCTTATTTTTTACTTATTTTAATATGTAATTTTAGTTTTCTCAATTTTCACATTACTTTTTTCTTCCCTCACCTCTTTCACTTTTTATATGCACATGAACTGTAGAACTAGTGCATGACGATGTTATAAACATGTTCGACTTTCTTAATAGTTTCTACTAAGCTTGATGCGCATTTTTCTTCCAACACTTCCTCCTCTTTCACACTTCCAAAAATTTTAACATTAAATTTAGTGTTATGAAAAATATATTTCGGAATATTAATTTTATTATTTCAGAAAATAATTTCTAGAAGTATGTTAAAAACACAATTTTAGAAAATATCTTTTGAGAACACTAATTTTACTATTTCGAAAAGTACTTTCTAGAACACTAAAATTATTTGATGTTGTATTTTCTAGACGTGTAAGTAGGGCGAAGTGCTTAAAGAAAAAACATATACTTTGCTCGACACCTTTGACACTATCGAGAAAGTCACAAACGCCTATAACGCTGTCGAAAACTAATTTTATGTCTTGAGTGCGTGTGAAAACTAAAAGAATGGAGAGAGAAAGTAATAGTGTGAAAACTGAAATACGAGGGAGAAGAGAATAATGTCAAAATCAAAATAATAAAAACTACCTAGTGAAATAGGTGAAAAGTAGGGAAAAAGTAAAGGAATGAATGTGAAAACTGAAAAGAAGAAGGAGATGTATGGAAAAGAAAAAGAATGTTAAATTAAATATTGGAAGTGTAAAGTTCAAAAAAATTAACGATATTTTAAGAATTTAATTATTCTTTTTTTTCTTTATAAAAAGTGTACTTATTAAAAAAAAAAGGAAAAATAAATAGATGTGTGTTTATATCACGAGCCGCTTTCTATTGAACCTAATTTGGCCCAATTTTGTTATAACTAAAACCGTTGAACTCGCATAGCCGATGTAAGGCCTTGCCAAACTGAAATGGTTCGTTTATAGATATTTTTTTGGCCCCCCACAAAAACAGAACAAATCATAAGATACTTATAAAGAAAAACTAAAGTACAATGAGCATAAATTAAAATTAATTTATATTTCTCAACTTCTGCTAAATTAGATTAAAAAACTTCTTCAAATATTAAAATGGATAAATAGATTTTAACGTGTAAAAAAAATTCCATTATATCTTAATTTATTTTTCCAATAATAAAATATTTGTTTTCAAACAAACCATAAATTTTGTAATTGGTACAAATTTTAATGATAATGGTGCATCAAGAGTTTTATGAAAAACAGTGGTGAATGAACTAATCGATTTTTGGGTCCAAGAAACGTGATCTTCCTCTTGAATTTGGGTGTAATAATAGGAAATTAAGGGAATTAAAAATATAGGATTAATTCTGTTATTAGTTATTTTTTGGTTGAAATTAGGATTATAGCCCGGGGAAAAGGTTGTATATGTGGGAAGTCAGAATTATAAATAGACCCTATTGTACAGAATTGGATTATGGAATAAGAAGTTCATTATTTAGTTTCCTCTACAATTTCTAAGAGAATTGTGAATGAGTGAGTGCAACCAAGGTTAGTAGGTATAACCTTGACATTGGTATCAATTAGCGTGGGACGTTTGGGACAATGGTGACCATGAAGGAACTCAAAACCCGCATGGAGACGTTTGAACAGGAATTCACAGACGCAAGAATCAACCCAAAAAACATTGGATTCGCTGCAGAAAACGATAGAGAGTCTCGTCTCTTCCATAACAACCATAAATGGCGGCAAGATAATCGTGACAAACGAAGGTGTCACAAACACACCAGATTTCGGTCAATCAGTAATAGAACGAGCGCAAATTCAATTCCCTACATTCGATGGAACCAACTTTCGGGAGTGGAGAGCAAAAGCTGAGCAGTTTTTTGAATTAGAGGATACCCCGATGGCACAACGTGGGAAGTTACTACTTTTATCCATGGATGGCAAAGCCTTCTCTAGGCAAAGACATTATATGAAGCAACCCAGATTCAAGGATAAATCTTGGGAACAGATTCTACAAGATGTGGCATATCGGTTTGATGACAGGGCATTTGATGAGCCGGTTGCGGAGTTAGCAAGATTGAAACAAGGGGATTTGGGGGAATATTTGGAAACATTTAATTCTCTGCTGGCTCGTGTAGCGATGACAGAATCCATGGCATTAAGTTTCTTTTTATCCGGATTGAAAAATGATCTAGAAAAATCCGTCCGAGTCCACAAACCTCAGTCCTTACAAGAAGTCGTGCATATTGCAAGACTCCAAGAAGAAATTCTTAAAGAATGGGAAAACAACAAAGAAAAACTGGCAGTCTTGAAACACAAACAAGATACACAAGATCTTGGTCAGGACCAGGTAGTTCTCAAAGGAGCCATTCCATCACAAATCTGCAACAAAATCATCCTATGCCTTCAATGTCTTCACCGGTAACATTAGATTCTAAGATTAACACATCAACTTCTATTTCTAGGAAGGGAGTTAGCGACAGGATTGCTAAGGGATTGTGTAGATTCTGTGGGGATAAGTGGGATAAAAACCATAAGATGAAATGTAAAGTATGGGGTAAACTAAATGAAATTTTTTCTACTCAAGAAGAAATAGTTGAGGATATCATGCAAGACAATGATCGTGAGGAAGAACAAGCAATAGTAGATAGAAGCATAGCCATGATTCAAGATGAAGACGTCCACATTTCACTCAATGCTTTACAAGGCATAGCAGGTGGCAATACATTACAGCTGAAAGGATTAATCAAAAACCAGAAAGTACCTTTTCTGATGGACACTGGGAGTACACATGATTTTATCAGTGACAAGTGGGTAAAGTTGCTTGGTCTGAAAACACAATTTGTCAAGGATTTTCCGGTAATTGTGGTTTCAGATAAAAAGCTCCTGATCATTAGGAAGTGTGAACAGACAACATGGAGATTCAATGATCATACATTTACAGCAGACTTCTTAGTGTTACCTAGCAAAACATTCGGGATCATCTTGGGAATGCAATGGTTCAAGACATTGGGAGAAATTTACTAGAACTGTGCAACTCTTACTATGAGATTTAATCATCAAGGCCAAGAGGTGACATTGCAAGGAGAACAACCAAGTGCAGAAGTTTAAGAACTGACCGGGAAGCTTAAAATGGTCCAAAGTAGTTGCATGTTTCTTGCATTGCATGGTTCAACTTTATTGAATGTTGCTGATACAGGGGATCAGGAGACACTAACAACAGAAAAACAACAGGAACTCACAACACTTCTACAACAATTTCAGTAGTTATTTGTGGAACCAACAGAATTGCCACCTAGGTGGAAAAGTGATCACAAGATCAATCTGATCAATGACACATCGGTTTGTTTGAAACCTTATAAATACCCACATGCCCAAAAAGAAGAAATTGAAAGACAAGTGCAAGGATTATTAGAAACTGGATTTATAAGGGAACGTACTAGCTCTTATGCTTCTCCTTTGGTGTTGGTAAAAAAGAAGGATGGCTTATGGAGGTGTTGCACAGATTTTAGAAAACTTAATGCTTTGACCATCAAGAATAAGTTTCCTATGCCACTAATAGAGGATTTGATGGATGAATTAAATGGGGCATGTTACTTTTCCAAACTGGATCTCAGAAGTGGGTATAACCAAGTAAGAATGGCTGATGAGGATATACATAAAACAACTTTTAGAACTCACAGTGGACACTATGAGTGGGTTGTTTTGCCTTTTGGTTTATGTAATGCCCCTGCCACATTCCAATCAATCATGAATGATATTTTCAGAAGTTATTTAAGGCAGTTTATTTTAGTATTCTTTTATGACATCTTAGTCTATACCCAGACCTGGAATGATCATTTAGAATGTTTGACTACAACATTACAGATTTTGGAGGAAAATGCCTTGGTGGTCAACTATAAAAAATGTAGTTTTGGAAAGAAGAAAATAATGTATTTGGGCCATGTGATTTCAATTTAAGGGGTACAACCAGACAACGACAAGATTTTAGCAATTCAACAATGGCCAACACCAACATCAGTTAAGGAATTAAGAGGATTTTTAGGACTCTCAGGCTATTACAGAAGGTTCATCTTGAATTATGGAAAGATTGCGGCACCACTAACGGAATTTTTGAAAAAGGAGAAGGCATCCAAGTGGACTAAAGAAACAGCGGTTGCATTTTAGAAGCTTAAACAAGCACTCATGTTTGCACCAGTATTAAGGCTGCCTGACTTCAAACAACCTTTCACCATTGAGACAGATGCATCGGGGGGAGGCATTGGGGTTGTTCTACTGCAAAATGGACACCCTATTGCTTACATCAGCAAAGCAATGGGACCTAAATACAAGTTATTTTTTGCATATGAGAAGGAGTTCTATGCAGTCTTATTTGCTATAAAAAAATGGTAGCACTACTTATGGGGACAACATTTTCTCATAAAGACTGATCAAAAAGCTCTTAAGCACTTATTATTGCAGCCTCCAACTACGTTGATGCAAAACTGAGGTCTAGAGAAACTTATGGGCCTTGATTTCAGCATAGAATACAAAAAAGGGAAGGAGAATGTGGTGGCAGATACATTGTCAAGAGTGGGACAGAATGCAAGTGTAGCTGCAATACTACATTTTTTATCTCGTTTAATGACTGAAGCCATTGAGTCTTGGAAGATAGATCCAAAATTGCATAAATTGGTGGATAAGATACGACTTACACAGCAGCCTCATAAGCACTACATGTTTCAAGGTACTTTGTTGAAAAGAAAAGGTAAAGTGGTTGTAGGTGCTCAACAGGACTTAAGAAACAAAATTCTCAGTCATTTTCATGATTCCTCCATTGGTGGACATTCGAGAACGGAACTTACATACAGAAGGATTAAGGAACAAATTTATTGGAAAGGATTACAAAGGGATGTAAAGCGATGAATTAGGGAATGTGCCACTTGTCAAAGGTTCAAATCAGTAAATCAGTTACCTGCATAGCTCCTTCAACCTCTGCTTATACCTAATAGAGCATGGAAGTCAATCTCCATGGACTTTATCATTGGGTTGCCTAAGTCTCAAGGGAAGAGTGTCATACTAGTAGTCATAGATAGACTCACTAAGTATGCTCATTTCATAGCTTTAGGACATCCATTCAGTGCAGTAAAAATAGCAGAGTTATTCATGAACACAGTGGTGAGATTGCATGGATGGCCAGAGGAAATCATTTCAGATAGAGATACAATTTTCTTAAGCAACTTCTAGACAGGGTTGATGCAGTCACATAATGTTAAGTTGTTAAGATCCACAGCTTTCCATCCTTAAACTGATGGACAGACGGAGAACCTTAACAAGTCTTTAGAAGCTTACTTGAGATGTGCTACAGGAAGTATGCCCAAACAGTGGACAAATCATCTAGCAATGGCAAAATTATGGTATAATACCAAGTTCCATACAGCCACCCAAATGACACCCTTTGAGGCCTTATATGGTTATGTTCCTTCGATTCCTAATTTAGTGGACAATGGAGAAACGTTAATCAAGGCAGTAGATTATACGGTGAAGACAAGAGAGCAAATTGGAAGAATGTTACAAGAAAATCTCTATAAGGCTCAAGGGAGAATGAGGATGTATGTAAAAAAGAGGATAGACAAAGAATTTAACGACGATGATCTTGTGTACTTGAAGATTCAACCATTTAAGCAGCACTCTTTGGCAAATACATCTTTTCACAAGCTTTCAGCTAGGTACTATGGTCCTTACAGGATTATTGAAAGAATTGGGAAAGTAGCATACAGATTGGACCTTCCTGCAGACACCAGAATTCACAATGTATTTCATGTGTCATTATTAAAGAAGCACCATGGTAGTCATGTAGTTTCAGAACAATTACCCAGATTTAATGAAGGAGACTTATTGATCCAACCATTGGCCATATTGGATAGAAGAGTGAAGAAGAAGAATAATAAAGCTATCACTGAAGTACTAGTACAGCGGGAACACACCAACCCCGAGGATGCAACATGCAAAGAATTACATGAGTTGCATATCCAATATCCGGATTTTAAGTGGCAAGTGGAGTAAGGACTTGGGGACAAGTCCTATTTTGAAGAAGGGGAAATTGTAATAATAGGAAATTAAGGGAATTAAAAATATAGCATTAATTCTATTATTAGTTGTTTTTTTGGTTGAAATTAGGATTATGGCCCGGGAAAAAGGTTGTATCTGTAAATAGACCCTATTGTACAGAATTGAATTATGGAACAAGATTCCTCTACAATTTCTAAGAGAATTGTGAATGAGTTAGTGCAATCGCAGGTATAACCTTGACATTGGGCTACTCTTTAAGACGGGTTTTTTCTATGCCAAGGCCCGATGAGGCTGCTTTCGAAGTTTCATTAAAGAGAGGTAGATTTCCCTTCTCTTATGACTCCTTGTGTCGTTTTTGGTGTGTCTCAGGCCTAACACTTCGTATGATTAAGGGAAGGGGCCTGTTGAACTACACTCAGTTTATATTAGTCAAACATGCTCATATTGTTTTATCGATTATAACAAAATTTTAATTAAATATTAAAAGCTAAAATATAAGGCATGAAACATAGATGACATGACAAACACAAACGAATAAAACCGCACAACCACTGTATACTGGGAAGAAACAAAACGCTTTACTCAAAGCTTACAATTTCCATTTTCCATTGTATCACTACGTCTAAATGACTCCATGAAGCACATATACAGCAGCACAAAATGCACAGCCACTGCCTTTTATTAATCCAGAAATGGCATCATACAGAGGATTACTAACCATGACGTTCACACTTTAGTGGCTAACCAACTTAAGAGAGTTTGCCTTCTCTTGCAGGGAATCCAGGAGGCTGTCAAAGCTCTTCTTAAACGAGTCCACTCCTTCAAGTTCAAGCTGGGAACCAACAAAGCTCCAATCAATACCCAATTTCTGGAGAGCGTTGTATACTCCTTCAGCTTCAGATGCATTTGAGTCAATTGTCCTGGATACAGTACCATGATCAATGAATGCTTGAAGGGCTTGGTCTGGCATGGTTGATACCTGGCAAGTAACAAGGTATTGCTATGAGATACAATAAATATTAGGAAACCTTGGTTTAAGTATGTTAACATAATCAAGGCTACACGACAAGTCCATTAAAACCAATACTATTTGCTTCAGATTAACTCTATAATAACAACAGATTGACTACTTGAAAATTATGATGGCTTACAGTGTCAGGTCCAATAAGTGGAGCAACATATAAGGTGTCAGGATAGGCAGGATTCTTGACACTGGTTGAGGCCCAGAGGAGCCTTTGCTTCTTGGCCCCTTTTTTAACTAGAGCTTCCCACCTTGGACCAGAAAATTTCCTCTGGTAGAGCTGGTAAGCCAATGCTGCTTGGGCTACAGCTGCCTGTAAAGTCCAATATGCCACGACTATTAGCATATTTGACATTCAGAGGTGTAATAATACCAAAGGCAAGAATATCACTTTGGAACAAAATAAACAGTTACCTTCCCTCGTATATTAAGGGCCTCTGGGGTGCCAATTTTCTCAAGGGTCTTGTCAATGAGAGTGTCCACTCGACTGACAAAGAAAGAGGCAACACTTGTGACTCTAGAGAGGTCATTTAACCCAGATGCCTCAAGACCATCCAAGTAAGCATCAATTACAGCTTCATATCGTGCAAGAGAGAATATCAACTGTGCATACAAATAACAGAAACATATTTAGACTCGAACCATGCAAGTATAAAAGACCAAGATTCATCAAGACAAGTTGGAGACTGAGTTTTTCAATTTCCTTTTAGCCAGACCTATTGTTGTAATGACAATATCTACAGGATCACTTGTCAAGTAGAGCTAATAATCCAATCTAGAATAGCATACCATAACAATATATAATACTAATTTATTTAATTTGCAGATGATATGAAAGGATGTAGCACAAACATACCGTCACATTCACACTTATCCCATTAGCAATAACTTCCTTAATTGAAGGCACACATGCCTCTGTAGCTGGAATCTTAATATACACATTGGGACGATCAACCACTTTATAAAGCCATTTTGCAGCTTCTATGGTTCCCTCAGTATCATCAGCAAGCCTGGGAGATACTTCCACAGAAACATAGCCATCACCACCATCTGTTTGATCATAGATTGGTTCAAATAGTTTGCATGCATCTTGGATATCCTTCACTACAAGTTCCCAATAAGCACTTTCAATGTCTTTCCCTGCTTGCACAAGCTCCCTGCATGATCGAGTAATTTGTTTTTATCCACCAGAGTAGGAAAGGAAATTGCTGATACAAAACTACCACAAGTGCATGATTGTTTCGATTAATTTTTTGGAGAAACAATCACTTTATTTTCCAGCTAAACGAGAGCTTTAGAAAGAAAGCAGATGCTTTCCACGAGAAATACTATGCCAAACATGGGCTAAATACACACATTATAAACAGAAAGGCATGATTGACATCTAGGCATGGCAACGGGGCGGGGCGGGGGCGGGTTTTACGTTCCCCGCCCCCGCTCCCTATACCTGCCGGGGATAAAATCTGGGTCCCCATCCCCGCCCCCGGCAGGGTTCGGGTTTCCCCGCCCTGCCCCGGCCTGGCCCCGCTCCTATTTTTTTTCTTCTTTTTTTCTTTTAAATAAATATGAACAATTTAAAAAAAAATAAAATTAAAGTAAAATAATATAAATTTTTACATATAAATATTTATAATTTTAGTTTATATGTATATAAAAATAATTTTTTAATTATATTATTAAACGGGACGGGGGCAGGGGCAGGTATGGGGGCAGGGGCGGGGGGGGGATTAACATCTCCGCCCCCGCCCCCGATTTTATCAATCGGGAAAAACTCGAACCCGAACCCGAACCCGATAAACACGGGTTTTTCCCATCCAAATCGGGATGGGTTCGGGCGGGTACCCACGGGGGACGGGTTAGATTGCCATGCCTATTGACATCCATGCCTCATATTTTGTAGTCCACGGTCAACTACACTGCCTGTTAAGTTTGCAAAAAGAAATTTCAGAATTAATAAAAGATATTGATGGTACCTGAACTGTTCATTGTAAGCATTTGATGATGAGATAGCTTTCTGAAAGATCTGTAATCACATATACAGACAGCAGATTAGAGTAGTCACATCTAATTTATCAAAGAAAGCAAGATGTTAGAACTCATCACAAGTATTTGGAACATAAATCATTTTTGGTTTCTGCATTATTATTGTCAGAAAAAATATCCACACATGGAAAACGATATCCCAAATAAAAAATTCTTATTACCGCAGGGTTGCTAGTAACACCTCTGACACCACTCGCTATAAGAGGAAGCAGATCTGTAACAGGTCTGCAGAGATTATCATACCATGGACTCTGCCCTTCTTTCTCATAAAGATCATGAAGTACTGTCCTCTTAGCTGGACTTCCATTCCCATCTGTTTGGGAGCATTTGATCCTGAATGAAAACAATTAAGCATCAAGCATTTGCCTCCTATATGAGCTGTTTAAGAAACAAATACTAAGGCCATGTTTGAATAAACTTCTCCATAAGCACTAGTATGAGAAGAAAATCCGAAGGAAAAATAAAATAAGTTTATCCATAAGCTAATTTGCAGAAGTTCTCTCTTATTAGATCTTTTAAAATATTAATTTTAACTTATGTATAGCAATCTTTGGCCTACGTATTTCATTCTTCTCTTACAAGTCATGTAGAGAAATTTATTCAAAGTGCCCTAAACCTACAAAATAATTGTCACTTAAGTAGCCATTTTGAAGGGCATATAAGAAGCTTATATAGCCTTATAAAAATAGTCAATCACTCTCAAGCTCTTTTTTAACTTTAATTCCAACAAAATTCATAATCAAATTTATGACAAAAAGCTCTTATAAAATGAGAGATATTGTATAAACACTTTTACCCACATGCATCTTCAGACGTTCAGTTCATTTCAAATTACTTCATCTTCAATTTAATTTTTGTGAACATTTAATCCTATCTGTTTGGGAGCATCCCGAGTTCACAGTAACACAACCGACAACTCAAACAAAAACTGTAAACCACAAATTCCGCAATGAAGCGTTATTCCAACAAGGTTTGAATAAAACCAACCGCATGCAAATTCTCGAAATGAAAATATCAATTAAATAAAAAGTCAAACACATTAGCATCTCATTTCCACTCTTCCACCGGCAATCAAACTTTGTATTTACCAACTTTCCGCTACTCAAAACAAGTCAAGTCCCACCAAACGCGCCCTTACAAGACACTTCGATAACGATCGCTGATCCTCTCAACTACGGAGTTTAAGTCAAGCAAACAGGTTAAAAAAATAAATAAAATAAAATAAAATAAAAAGCCGGTGCATGTGATGTGATGATGTAATAGATCAAGCGAAGTTGAAAGAGCGAGATCGCAAAGAAAACATAAACGAGTCGCGATCTGGCAAAAGCGTGGAACAGATCTTACCGCAAAGAGGTTTTAGGCTTGATGGAGCGAAGCGATCGGAGAGAAGCGGAGAGGTTAGTTTTACCATAGGCGTTGGAAGGTTGAAAGGCGAGGAAGCACTTGGGAGAGGGTTTAGGGCGAAGCGTCCCTGATACGAAAGCCGGTGGATTGGGCGTGGAGAGCTTGGAGACGGAGGCCATTGGGAATTGCGGAAGGAGGGATGGGTGTGCGTTAGTTGGTCCGATTAATTTATAGTATCATATTATTATTTTTATAATTGGTATGGGGTATGGGTTTTTAAGCTAACTTTTATGTCAGATGGGTGGGGGAAGTGAAGTTGGTATAGGAAAGTTGGTGCACCTTTTCGATTGACCCAAAAGCCAGAGCCACCACAACCAAATAAGAGGCGCTTGAGGGGCAATATCGGCATTTCACCATTCCTTTCGTCTCCTAGCCGCCATCTACTGTCACTAGTGCTTCACGCTGTCGTTTTATTTTCCTATTAGGCAACACAGTCAAATTTCTTCTATTTTTTCTGTTTTTTATTTTTTCGGTAAATATGAACGCATGCTTTCGTGTAAGATACCCATATGTGGCTACTGGCTACTGGCTAGGGTGAGCAAGCCTTAATTTATCACCCATACTCAAGAGGTCAAGAAACTCTTTCACCACCACAAATAATTTATGTCTCTTCGATACATTAGTACTTGGAATAAATGTTTTTAGTTTCTATTTTAAAAAATTTTCACTTTTATTTTTTAAACAAGGCCTTAATTTTTAAATTTCTTCTCTATTAACCTTTTGATTTATGTTATTAAGTACTTTTTTTATTAAATAATGATGTGACAATCATATTGTCTATCACATCAATAATTAGTATAATATAAATACTTTTTTTTTAATTAACGTGTTTATAAATTATTTTTAACTCTAATTCCTAAGTAATATTTTTAATTTCCAAGCTATAAAAAGTTTTCAAACATATTAGAATAAGTCTCCTGTCGAGACTAAGGGATAGGAATGATCTAGACAGTCCTTTTAGCACTAATAATCCAATTGAAAATTCGTTAACATCAACAGTATCATTATGTTTGAAGTATTGTTCGTTTTGTTCCTTGTTGGACTGTTACAATTTTGTTCTTAAAAAAACACATTGATGTAACGACTCGCCTTAATCTCTACACTTAATGAAATCAACTACTAGCAGCAGATATAATCCCTATCATTTGATTTCTTGAAAATCATCACTTAAATTAAAAAAGTCTAATACAACCATTAGGTATAATATAGTTTAAGTGTGAGTCTACTACGACATTGACATGCACTAACCAAGTCACTTATGTGATTAACCCACTAACTATCCTCGTGATACCACGTACCTCTTCAATAATTAGTTAAAGATGTTAGTCCTCGACTTCATACCTTACTCCAACATTCACTGAGAACCTAGAGGAGTAATGAAATAGAAGAACAACTTATCTATTATTTATCTTTTAGTTCAATTCATCTATTATTTATCTTTTAGTCAATCTTATTTATTATTAGTGATAGGCAACTGATTTAGTTTGTTATTTTGTTCCAGAGTTTGTTATATCAAACTCCTATAAATGTACTCATAAGCTTTTCAACAAGAAAAGGAATGAAAATTAATTAAATCATTCTCTTTATTCACTTTATTTAATAATATGGCATCAGAGCCCAATCTAAAAGACCCTATAAGAAAAATAAAGGTGTTAAACCTGATCATTTAAATGTATCACGCAATCGCAAAACTCCTCTTATGGTAGTATTGTTGAAAAGAGATAATTATAGAAATTAGGCAAGATCCATGAAGATTGCATTAAGGGAAAAAACGATAATGAGTTTCATTGATGGTTCGATTAAGAAACCCCTTCAAACTTCTACACACTACCATGACTAGGAGAAAGCGAATTCAATGGTCATGACATGGATTATCAATTCCACAGACCCTGCGCTACATGAGAGCATCTCATATGCGACAACAACTAGAGACATATGACTTGATCTTGAAGAACATTTTGCTCAAACAAATGCTTCTTGCATACATCAACCATGGCGTGATTTATGCTTGATGCAACAAGAATCAAGTACAAGAATGTCAAATCATTATACAAGATTCAAGGGTATTTTTATGAATTAAGTGAATTACAACCACTACCTAAATATACTTGTGGTGCTACCAAAGAATTGGCACAAAGAGAAAAGGATTACCATGTTCATCTTTTCTCGGGGAGTTTGGACAGCAATCAATATGTTCATATTAAAGGAACTATTCTCAATTCAGATCCTTTACCTTTTTTTAGATGATTCAGATTATGCATCTTGCCCAACTGCAATAGAATCAATTTCAAGTTACCTAATGAAATTAGGAAGCAGTCTAATCTCTTGAAAAACAAAGAAACAAACTACAATCTTGTGATCATCCATTGAAGTAGAGTATAAAGTTATGTCTTATGTAACCGGTGAAATAGTTTGGTTGAAAAATTTATTGCACTCTCTTTTAAAAAAAGTTTAAACTTGATTTTTCTATTAAGAATTTTTAATTTAACGGTTGAATCATTTAAATTTAATATAAAAAATAAATTATTAAATATAATAAATAAATGTAAATAAATTTTCTCTTGAGATAATTGAATTATTCATTCCTATCTTTTACATATATATATATATATATATATATTTACATTCTGACTTTTTTTTTTCTATCAAGGATTCTGACCAATTCTTTTCTGACCTTTACATGCCAGATTATTACGCCACTTCATCCACACATTTCATCATGTCAATGTAAAGCCAAGATATCACACAAAAAGTAACATCACAAACAACATATATGATAAGGTATGATTATCAATCGAGTATCAACCATATCATGTAAAAAAAAAATTATTATAATATATAGCAACCCAATATAATACATTTATTTAATAGAATTCATCCAATAGCATCATAGCTTCATTTAGGCAGCAAATGAAGACAACTAAATAGACTAACTAAATAGACTTTAAATAACCTAATATGGTCTTAATTACGGCAGGACACTGTCACGATCACTATCATGAAACTTATTGTACCAACGTGTATACTTTTATTTTATCATATATCTATCTATATATATATATCTTTGGGTATTCTTTATTTATCGAGTAAAGCCCGCAAGTTGAGTACCACCCGGCCCGGGCCCGGGCCCTGATTAGTGTATCACTTCAATAGTTTTTTTTTTTTTTTTGAAAATTGTTATTATTAAACTAGTCCCTAAAAATTCAGTGTATCGATCTATTTGTTCCTAAACATTATCAAATTAATCATTCAAAAACCAATCAGCCAATAAATCTGCCCTTTTGCAAAGATGCATATATAGGGTGATATATTCTTCAGGTTGGGTGATTAACCTTGTAATTTATTTCCTCGAAAACTAATTAAGATGATACACTAATTTTTAAGAGACCAATTTAATAAAAATAATTTTAAAAAGTAATTAATCCCGTGAAACACTAATCTTTGGTTTTACCAAATTGAGGGTTGACTTGTTGGGATTATCTGGCTCTTCCAGTTCCATCTCTGGCAGAAACATTTTGACGTTTACAGTTGAAGTAGGTTGCTGCAACTGGTAATCCAAGATTATAAAGCTCGCTAAAATCTCTGGTGTTGAAATTTTGGCGCCATCCAGGAGCATATATAGTTTGTCTTCCAGTCTGACGAAACAGTATGAAAACAATACGATGAATCCCCGACATAGGTCTTGGACTTTCGTAACCAACAACTTCTTCACCTAAAAAATCATGCATGCCATCATTATTAATTATATAATTTCAAATGTAATTTCTTTCTCAACATAATCATAAATGAGTTAATTACCCATACATTGTCAGTGTAAAGTTTTTTTTACACTAACAATCAATTATATCTTTTAATTGTATCATATCATTATAAAAACAATTACTTTTAACAGTAACATAACACAATTAAAAGATATAATTCGTTACTAGTGTAAAAGAACTTTACACTGACAGTGTATAGGTGATTAACTTATCATAAATTATGTTTCACATATAAAAATATCAAAACAATTTTTTTCTAATATACTATACCCTTATTATTATTATTAGGAGAATTTATATAGTTCCTACTAAATAACATAGAGTTTGTTGGCTATTCAGATTTTTTTTTACTGTGATAATTAAATATTTTAAAGTTTTATAATTTTCTGATTTGTTTGTAAGTTTAGTTAAAGATTATTTATATTAAAAAAAAAGTAAATTGTTATGTAGATAAGTGATATTTGTTTGTTAGTTAAGTTATATTTTATTATTTGTTTTACTTAATCAGGAGTCAGTCAATTTTAGTATTTAAAAATTTACTGTAAATATTTTTAATGTGTGCAAAATTAAGTTTATAATTCAAATATATCATATAAGTTTTTATCCCCTTTTATATATGTAAAGTTGCATATTATAGTCTTAACCTAATATATTTTTTCTTATCCATACACTCCTATTTTTCATGTTTTTGTTAAAAAGAATATATTACTCACATGTAAAGAATATGTTAGCGTATTTTCTTTTAGGAAAAGCATAAAATGTTAATTACCATATAATTAAAAATGTTTAAAACATAAAATAAAAGTTGCGAACATACCAAAGTTTGCTCCTGTGGTTCCTGGAATGTTGGCTACTAACCTGGATATACATGGAAGGGTAAAAAAAAAGACTTGTAAGCTAAAGATTTAAGTTTTTTTTTTTTTTTTGAGGGGAGCAAAAGATTTAAGTTACTAATATATATTTTAATTTAAATAATAAATAAAAATTAGCAAATCATAAAGATGTTAAAAATAAAAGATAAAATTATTCTTTAGTTGAATATATAATTTTAACATCCTTATAGATAGTTGATTACCCAAAATTCGATTAGATCATTCGGTCAGTTTTTATCAAAAATTGCATTCACCGATATATGGGGTGACTTAGTGAAAGCAATAGACGTAAGATGAATTTTATTTTAAATACTTAAATATTCTTAGGGTAAATATTTATTGTAATATAATTATAATTATAATAAATAAATATTTTTAATGCATAATAATTTTTCAATTTATAATATAAGAATAAAATTTTAATTATAATATTTTATTTTATTATTTTGATTGTAAAAGGAAAATATAAAATGTTTGTCCAAATTTGGGTGGAAGGAAAAGAAAGATGGGAAGAAAAAAGAAAGAAAAAATTAAGAAAGTGAAAAATATGATAATGAGAAAGAAAAAAAAGAAAGAAAGAAAGAAAGAAAGAAAAAATGAGATAATGCAAATAAAAAAGACAAAAGTAAGTATATATCTATAAATAATCCTTTGTAAAGTGAGTAGCTTGGTTCGTTCCCGCCAATAGGCTTTAAAGGGTGGGATAGCTGATCCCAAGATTTAACGCGACTGCATACACAAGATAGGATTCGAACCCCTGATCTTGCTTAAGCGTGGATCAACCTTACCGCTTAACCACACGTTTGGGGTTTTATAAGGTGAGTAGCTAGTTACGTGTTTCTGTGTGAGTAGATATTAAAGAATAATGATGGGTGTGAATCGTGTGATTTTGTTCACGTTCTCACATCTATGGCTCAGAGAGCCTCAGACAGTGTCATAGATTAATGGAGACGCAGATGCAAGCAAGGGATCAGAGGGCAATTACCACTCAGGCACTCACCTAAACTTTTAAGCAAAAAAAGGGCAATTACCAGTGCAAATATTCCCTCTGATTTGGATTTCCTGGACTAGGTGCATCAGGATCCACCATGACCTGCAAATTATATAAGAAGTGCATGCAATAAAATTAACTATATGAATGATATAACACTATTATATGTAATACTTATGGAATTGCTTGTATTACCAGGGTGTAACAGTTCCTGAGGTCATCTCCACCAACTTCAACTCTTGGTTGGTTGATGATTTGTGAGGGTTTGAGCTCACAACAGTTGATAACTTCATGGCTATTATTATAGATTATCCTCATAGAGACACAACATGTAAAAGGATCCAAGACATCTCCTATTACACGTCCAATAACAAGAGGATCCAATGATCTAGGCATGATATATATTGATATACAACTTGTTCACCTTGATTTATATGTTCCTTTTTTCAGTTTGCAGGCCGTGCCTGTTAATTTATAATATATGCATGTTCTAGCTACGTTAGTGCATATTTCACCATCAAAAGATTATTCTCCTTAGATTTATTGCTATGTGTTGAAAGTGAGAGAGAGAGAGAAAAACAAAGGACCTTCCATATATATGTGATCAAAAAAAAAAAATTTATTAGATGGTCCGAACCATATGATCTTTAACTAATTTCTACATGATATGTAATTAAATGATAAAATTATTATTTTTTAGTAAATTAGAAAATTTAAATATATATCATATAATAATTAGTTAAAATTATAGACACTTGATGATCCCGAAGTACCTAATAATTTTTTCAAAAAGAAAAATTCACCAGATAGTTGCATGGATGTTATCTGAAACATCTTTTTGATTGGTTCCACATACGCTTTAAGTTGTGGTGGTCATAAGACAGGCACTTTGTAACCTTGTGATGCAAGTTATTTTGTATGTATCTCGAAAGATCTAAGGGAATTATATCTTCTATAACCCAAGGAGGACTGGAGGAGTAATGAAAATATTTTTACTTTAAATCAATTAAAATTAAATTTATAAAATAATACTTTTCACATGATCTCCCACAGAATTTTGCAATCATTTTTAATTTAGTGATAAGTTTGATAAGTCTTATTTCACTCATTTATTAGGTTAAACTTTGTTTATATAATAATTAAAATTTTTAATTTTAATTTATTATTTAAATATAAAAAGATATTTTTTTACTTTAAAATATTCTTTGAATTAAAAATGTTATATTTATTTTCGAAATTCGTTTTTTCTTATGATATTAAATTTGCAAGATCAATAAAAAGGATATTCTTGAAATTAGAATAATCACTTGAATTGTAAAGGGGTTAATCACCCTAAATAAGATAGGAGGCTGATATATATAAAAGGAAAGTTCTTCAAGTTTTGAAAAAAAAAAATGTAATGAAATTTGAGTAATGAAAATTCATTGAAATATTGTCATGAATGCAGGTATTAAGGATACATTAAATAAATTTGTATAATTTTTTTCTATTTTTTTATAATTAGTAATTTATCTTGTGTCATGTACATACATATTTATTATATATAATTAAAATTTATAATAAATTATATATATAAATAAATACTATAAATATATAAATTATATTTAAAATTAGTATACATAAATATTTTGAAACAAAAATTATATTTTATATTTATGATAAATAATTTATACCATAATAATTTTTTATTTATTGATAATTTATTTTAAAATATTAGTATATAATTCATAAATAATTATGATAAATAAAAATTGAATCAGATAAAAAGTTAAAAAGAATTCCTACAAATCTTTCCGCTATAGAAAAATCTCTAAAAATACTAGTGTAAGATATAAATTTATGTTTATTATATACAGGTTGATATCATAATAAAAAATATATATTGATAATTTATTTTAAAATATTAATATTTAATTCATAAATGATTATGATAAATAAAAATTGAATTAAATAAAAAAGTTAAAAAAATCTTTTAAACCCTTTCATTGAATTTTTTTCTTCTAAATACACTTTCATGGAAACGATAAAATTTTGTGTTTAATATATAAGGATTGATTTTATTTTATTTTTTTATGTTCCCTCGTCATTGAGGAGTTTTTGTTCTCAACATTATAGTAGATCTATGTAGGATTTTTGTGTCAAAACTTAAAAGTCTTTTAGCAATATGGAAATCAAGCGACGTACTCTATTGGCAGTAGTGGTTAACAGCAACCCAAGTCCATCCAATATTTGCATAGTGGAGGCAAAGACACTCAAAATGTAAAGAACATTATTCAAGATGATTATGACAAGTATTCATGATTAAGAGTTGAAGATGAATGAAAATTTAATTAATGGAAGAACTATTAAATAATAATTCAAATTTATAATTTCAAGTCTTTAAAATATTGTTTAGATATAAAAATATTAGTTTTCTTTAGGATGCTCTTTAGAATTAAAAATATTATATTTATTTTAGAAATTTATTTTTTCTTGTAATGCTAGGATGCAAGTTAAAAAATTGAGATTATTAATATGAGAATAATCACTTAATCTATAGAAGACATCATTGTCGTAAATGAGATAAAAGGGTTAGTTTGAGAGAGATTTCTAAAATTTTACTAGAAAACTTGTTATAGAGTTTGAGATAATAAGTAAGATATTGATATAGATATAAGCAGAGTTTGAGATAATAAGTAAGATATTGATGTAGACATAAGCATGAGGAATTGAACAACTTTAAATAAATTTGTATAATATTTTTCTTTGTTTTTTTATGATGATTACTTTGTATGTGTTTTCTCATCGTTGTGTAAATTTTTTTTCTTTCTAACAAACCTTTAGTGATATAATATGAATAAATCAATATTAATTTATTTTCGTGTATATATATATATATATATAGGGAGCGTATCAAGTAAAAGAAAATTTATTATGAGAGATGAGAGTTAAAATATAACTCTTAGATTAATCAAGTGAGAGAAAATTTGGGTTTAATCAAGTGAGAGGAAATTAATCTAAGGATTATATTTTAACCCTCTCATCTCTCATAATAAATTCTCTCTCACTTGATATGTTCCCTATATATATATAT